AATGTTTGTTGGGAGTAAGGAGGTGGCTCATTTTACTGTACTGGTTAAGTGCATAAATTTTTGTTCAGACAAAACTAGATCCTATTTTCCCACCCAGGAATGATAATTCCTACTTTATAGTTTAAAAAAAATACAAGTGAGATAATACATATAAAATATGTATCAGTATTCTTGAACTAAGGCCTAACTTATGAAAATTTTCATTTAATGTTGTGCTGTTGTTACTAGTATTATGACTGTTGTGTCTTTAAAATTTTTTTTTCTGAGGAATCAAATAGATAGATTGCTAGTTTTGGAACAAGAGTGATCAAGGGTTTTTTTTGTTGGTGGTATAAAAGAATAAGGTAATCACTGTAGAGGAAAATTACTATTCCCATGACAGCAAAACTGATGCCAAGTTATTAGGAGTAGGAATAATGGCAGGGACATAAAAGCATGAAAGTCAAGTTATTGAGATTGACTGCTTTGTATGTGTTTAGAAAGTATATATGGTATGCCATCTGGTATGAGGGAGGAAAGTCATAAATTCTGTTGGGGGTCAGGATACATCACCCGCAAATGTGACTAGAGGAGACCATAATGTCATCCCCAAATATTTCTCTTTGGCATGTTTATTATTTCAAATTGTTTATTTTGAGAAACTGCAGGCAGTGAGTAGCTTTGAAAAACTCTTCTTAAAAAGAAAATTTACATCTATAAAGGAAATTTTCATCAGTAAAGGCATATTTATCAAAAAGGGGGTTAATCTGAGAAGTCTTTTGTCAGTTGAGGAACTTTTATCTGCCTGACAAGGCAACTTTTATTCGCCATAAATTTTCTCTCCTTACTCTCCATAATTCTGCTCCAGTAGCCACAGAAACCCCAAAGCCCCATTGCTTCCTGTAGCTATATAAGCTTGAATAATCAGTTTCTTCTTTGAGTCTAACAGTTTTGTGGGACTCCTGCAGTAATAGGTACATAATTAAAACAGCTCTACTCCTACTAATCTGCCTTGTGTCAGTTTAATTTATAGTTTAGCCAAAGATTCTAACAGAGTAAAGAGAAGTCATTGTTTCTTTCTCTTATAATCCAAAACATTCACCCTAGCTGTGAGATGGTTGATAAGGAAGAAGAAAACTCAATGCAGTAGTGGCATTATCTCCATATTTCCTGTGATAATAAATAGCATTTAAGTTTGCTCCAATCCATGAAGCTAGTAAGTGAAAATAAAAGATACTAATTAATTTATTTCTTGAGTAAAATCCATGCTGATTCCCTTCAAGCTCATGTTATTTACTATTAAACTGAATACTCCAGTTTGTCTGGATAATCTCTCCTGTCTTTAGCATTATTTCAAAACCTTATTTTTCAGGAAGTCTCCCTTGTTTGCATGGGAGACACTTTTCCCATGCTTTATGTCTATTATTATTATTAAACCATAGCATTCTAACTTACTATTTATACATTTTTCTGTCTCATTAATGTTCCTTGAGGGACAGGTAGTACATATCGATGTTTTCATGTCGACATAGATCAATAAATATTTGTTTTATGAAAAAATATTTAAATATGTAAAGAATGGATGCATAGATAGATAAACAAATAAACAATGAAGATGTAATAGCTTTGCCCCGGTTAAAGGAGAATGCAAAATTCAACCTGGGAACATCATTCTGGAGAATCACAAGATCTCCATCGCTCAGTGTTCAGTTTTGAGAATAGCCTGGTAGCAAAATAATGGATTTGTATAAAAAAAGGGTATATAGAAGATGAGTCCAACTCTCAAAGAATGCTTTAAGTAGAGGCTACTTCCCTTTTCCAGAAGTTCCAATTGAACTCCACCAACTTACAAAGAATTGTAGCTCATGGTTGTCATTAATGCTATGGACCAAAGGTAAAGAACATCCCATAGCTTATATCTAACATAGTCTATTGGCTTGAGCCTCTTTTAAGGATACTGCATTTGGATGGGATTAGCTAATATAAAGGACTGAGTAAAATATCCAAGTGAGAGAATCCTCTTTCCAGTATTCATAGAATTCAGTAAGATTCTGGTCCTCCTTTTTGGTGGCTGAGGTTTAAAAGACAACAGTTTTTTTTTTTTACTACTCCAGGAGTGAGTTTATCCACATAGCACTTCAGATTTTCAGAGTTTAGCCCTTACCCCCTTGCTAATATTGATAATAAGATATTATCTATACAGTAACAGCTTTGGACATCAAGACATAGACTTAAATAATAAATCTTTACAGTAAGTGACAGGGTGCTTAGGTACTGAGGAAATACTGAAAAAATTGGGGACTTTGTTATATGAATGCACATATTCTTGCCTTGGCAACTTAAGTGCCAGTGAGATAGAAAAGGTATTAGACAAATAAAATTCCAAGTGCTGTCAGTATAGTGGATTTAATTGCAGTTACAATGTCTGGAGTTGGTAAGGGTATAGGATCAACAAATGAATACCCTAAGCAATACTCTATTGTAAATCTCTAACTCCTATTAGCATTTTTACTAGCCATACTTGGCTGTTGTTTGAGATATTGTATCTTATACTATCTTTGCTGGCTTTAATTCCTTAAACAAGACTATAAGGTTCTCCCTTATTTATACTGGACTACCTGAGGAAAAAATGGGTCAAGAATTGGGGAGTGATTTACCAGTTCTCTTAGCATTTCTCTGCACGTATCTCTTCTTGATCAGGTGAATCCTCTTTGGACTTTACAGTCATTTACAGTAAAATATTAATATCAATTATACATTCAGCAGTTAAAGCCACAAAATAGTGGTACATTGAATGGCCCCGTAGAGCCTCATATACAAGGTCACCTGAGCTTTTCTACAGTGAATCATGCTCAAGCCTTGTGAGCTGAATCCTGGTGCCCTAAAGGCCTGCTTCATAAGCCCAACCCATGGGACCAAGCTGAGTGCAATGTGAGTAGCAGTATCCAATAAGGCCAGAAGAGTTTATGGCCTTTCTCTCCCATAAGTTCTTTAGTATCTTTGGTTGGGTATGTATGACCATGCTTTGCTTTAGGCAAACTTTGGTTCCACTTTTAATTATCTTTTCCTTTTAAAGCATCTCAGTTTTGTAAAGAGAAGAAAAGAGGGATCATGAAACATGGAGGGCAAGATAGCTATGAGGTTGTAAGCAAAGCACATTTACTTAGGCTTTCAGCCTAACAAAATGGACTTCTAATTGCCAATTTATAGGATGCTAAATTACACCCTTCTTTGGGTTTAAAAATGAAAAAAGTAAATCAGAGCCACTAATCTGATCATATAACTCACAGTGAAGGCCTATTTTCTGATGACACTCAGCAGAAGGAAGGTACAGACTGAACCTGCGCTTTCACCCTTGCCGCCCGAATTATCTCTATGCCAAGCATAGCAGCAGATATGCCACTTTCCCAATGAGCAGTATAGTAAAGAAACAGAGATTCTGCTTGAAGACTACTTAATTACCACCAGAGAGTGAAAACAAAATGAACTCTCTGTTTCACACATAATGGCTAACCTGGGCACCTTCATCTGATTGAGCCCACCATTCCTTGTAGCCAGACTAGAGTTCTTTGGTCTTTCTATGTATCCATTTATTCATCTAATTTAATCATTTATATTTTCTTCATTAAACAAATGTTTATACCTGGATATAGAGAAACAATAATGCATTCACTTTGTCTTCCAAGTAACACTAACAAGGCAGAGAAAAATCTATCAATACATATTTTATAACAATGTGTTAATGGCAGTGAGAGGTGTAAACTCTGGGAGGAGAGAAGAGAAGCATCTACAACATATTGGAATCAGAAAAAGTTTGGTTTCAGTTAATAGTGGCTGCAAATTTCTCTCCTTTTACAACTAGTGCAGATCCTTGTTTTTATGGCTATTGCCAGAAAGGAAATGAAAATTTTTTGCCTAAGGTAAGTCTTAGGAGGTGAAGATGACTGGTAGATTGGTAAGAAAGTCCTCCCACCTCTGAAAGACTTAGTAGAAAGCAGTTGGAAGTTGTTTTCGAGTATATTTCATAGCATTTAACCTGAAACCCCTTCACATATTTCTCATTAACAAGTATTAAAGCAGAGTACCATTATTTTATAGTTGAACCTAAAATGTGGTTAACATCTTTGTTACCAGTTTTTAAGGATGTTCTACAAATCCTTTTCATCATCCCACAAGTCCCTGATCCTTTCTCTTTTAGAAATTCATGACTGTCATTCTCTTCTTGCCACTGTCAAGAACTGAAAAAGGTCTAAGATTTTATTTTTGGAAACTAAGAAGTTAGGAAATCACAGTTTCATAAAGCTGCCAGAAGACTTCTAGGACAAAGGACTTGAGTACTTTTATTAATAACAGTAACCCGATTATCAACATTTCCAGTACATTTCTCAAGCCCTTTTTTCTACAGGGCCATGCAAAGATGGCTAAATAAACATACGTGCAGTGGATTCTTTTAGAGGTTGTGTTCTCTCATTTGAGAGAACACATATCTTTTATAAGGGTCCGTAAGCTAAACTATCCTTCATTATGGAAGTAGACATTATTTCAATCATTCAAAGTTGCAATTATTTTTAAAAAATCTCTGAAAAAATACTTCAGCACGAAGGCAGTCAGTGTCTCTATGATGAGAGCTCTAATAGTTACCATAAAGTAGAAATTCCCACAGCATGGGACTTTACATAAGATGAAATCAAAACTTCTATCATCATCTTCTTATTAACCATACTCAGCTTTTACCAGATCATCAGTTTACTTTAGAAGAGTCCAATTTCAACACTCCCTGGTGAAAAGCTTTGAAAGTTAAAAACTTGCCTTTGGATAACTGTCCCATTTTATGTTTTCTCTTTGGGAGCAATGTAAAAATGGGTTAAGCCATACATTCATATTCCAAAATGGACATAAGCGACATCTAGTAATATATATTCAGGTCTTAGGTAAAGTAATATACATGTTAAAAGTTTGAAAAACACTAAATTGCATTGAAGAGTAAGTAAGAACTATTTGATTTTTAACCCTTTTTTTAGTTTGCAGGTTGCAGTGGACTGAAGGAAAAGGTTTCCTGTATTGAGAAAAATAAAGAAAATCAGTGTTTTGAGATTGAAACTGATGAGAAGACAAGTGTAAGTGTTAATGTGTTTTCTTTGTTTCTGTGTTTAATGGGCGAGATGTCTTGTTCTCAGTAGATATTATTTCTACTAGTGTTCAGATTAAGGAATTATGTAACCTGATTTGACCTGGCCCAGCATATTGGGTTCTTCTGCTACTGAGCTGATGATGATTGTGTATCATTTTGAGCCAATATGATTTTCATTTGGAATTTTTGTTTTGGCATATAGTTTTAAGTTGCCAGTGATCACTTCAACATTTTGTAAACTAATTTACTTCTCTTTTGAAAAGTGTTTTTGCTTAACATAGTAGTTTTTATTTAAACTATTTGAGACAGTTATAAAATGCTAAATGCGCTCCCAGGAAGGGAAATTGTCTAATTTGGCAAGAATACTGTTTTCCTCCAGAAGAGGAGAGGGAGAATGGATGTCCCTGCTGGACTCATGCATCCTTAGAAAACAATTTTTTGTACTTCCTGGCTGTCCACAAAGATATTTGTATGTTTGCTTCCTGAAGATGAAATCATCAGGCCTGGATACAAATGTTCCAACTTGTCAGTCAGCTAAATTAAATGAGGGCTGGCACATGTATTAGAGAGACTTTGTGTTTATATTATAGGAAAAATATATTGCTGGCCTATACTTGAAAAGCTCCACTTGCTTTACCTTATAAGAGTGCTATGAAATTTTAATAAGATCCTGAATATGAATATTTTTAACACTGCCTGGAAAATAATTTTATCCTTTTACTGAAGTGATTTGCAGGTTTCACATTTTTCTAAGGTGGTATTTTTATGAAAGTTTGAAAAATAAAAATAAAGACACATTGAAAACTTCAGACTTATTCATGAAGAAACATTTTACATTTAATGTGGATCTTTTGCTTTACTTTACTCCTACTGTGTTCTTTTAATAACTTTAAATAATTAAAAGTAGTTTTAGTGTTATATTATGTATTTAAATAAATCTATTATTCAAAAGATAACATTTGGAGATTTGATATTCCAGAGTTCTGGTGGGAAATAATGACTTAATCAGCTCATAGAGAAAAGGAAGGTACTTTCAGAATTCACAGATCTTGGTGGCCAAGTAGATTGAGGTTTTGGGTGCTACAAAGGGATACTAGACAAGGAAGTTAGGATAAGTTTAATATGACATCTTAAATTTTAAATAACAGAGGAACTAAAAGAAAACATTTTAAGAGAATATAGGATGTAGTTTGAGAACTAATGTGTTAGCAAAAATAGAAAAATATGAGAGAATGCAAAGAACAAAAGATCCAAAGTTGGAGTCTAGGAATTGTATCTTGAATCTGCCACTGATTAGTCATATGCCCTTAGGTAGATTAATTGGTCTACCATTATTTGTAAAATGAAATATTACCTATTGTGTTCATCTTTCGGGAGTATAATGAGTACCACATGAAATAAATGTGAAAGATTTGACCACTAAATGCTCTTGATGTTGCATACATTTGGAGACATGATCTGAGAACTAAATGTATCTTGAAAGTATTTTCAGTTAAAGTTTTAGTTGTTTGATAATTTTAATTTCTTTAGTAGAAATTATATTTTAGGCAATCTTATGAATTAGAACTGGTTGATAAAGGAGCTAAGTAGACACAATGGAAATACTGCAATTCATGAGCAAAGAGTTGGGTCTTTTATAATAGAGAGGTAACTAGGTAGAGTAAAATTTGACTGTAGGAAGCATAGTAGACTGAGAAGGGAGCGTGGTGTAGCAATAAGTCATAAATGGAATACAGAGAGCTTGTGTCGTTTTTGTACACACACTCTCTGAGTGGTCTTAGACAAATCACTTAGTGTATTTATACCTCCATTTCCTAAGCAAAAGTGGAAGATTTTTTATTGGAAAATTTTATTAGATGAATTATGGGTTCTTTTTAGTTTGTAACCTACTTACAGCATTTTGATAGGATATAGAACTTATTTATTTTAGAGAATCCAGCGTCACCCTCAGATTTTATCAGGTAGAAATATCTATTTACAATCTTTTTTTAAAAAATTGAATTTATTGGTACATTCTAGGTATATAGTACAGTTACATTCATTACTGGGATCTTGTACCTTTACATGCCAGACCTTGGTTCTTATTTTTTCCCCTTGTCCTCACCCTCCCTTCACCCCCTCCTCCCCTCCCCACCTTCAAACACTTTAATTCCATTTGTACATTTTCTCGTATTTTTTTCCTTTTCCCTTGTTCCCTTTTTCTTGTCCTTCTCAGTGTCCCTACACCTTTGGTCCTTTTCTTCCTATTTGCTAATTGTCCCGTTAGGATCTTGAGTACTATTTTAGTTTTTCACACCAGAGAAATTATTCGGTATTTGCATATGTGTGACTTAATCTATTTACAATCTATTAAGTAGCTGTAACTTCAGAATAAGAATAATTTTTACAGCACATCTCTATTTCTCTATATACTGTACTGGGAATTGAATCCAAGAACATTCTATTACTGAGGTTTGTCCCCACCCCTTTTCCCCTCCCCCCCTTCCTTCCTTCCTTTCCTCCTTCCCTCCTTCCTTGACAAGGTCTTGTTATAGTGCCTAGATGGGGCTGGAACTTGAGCTCTTCCTTTTTCAACTCCCCTATGTACTGGTATGACAGGCATGCACCACCATGCCCAACTATAGAGTTCTAGTTTTCCAGGAAGAAAAAGATTTAGAGGTCTATTTTACAACAAAGTAAATATACACAATGTTACTGAACTCTACATCTAACAATGGTTGAAGTTGTAAGTCCAGTGTTGTATGTTTTTTACTATAATAAGAACAATGAGTGATGAGTCTGAGCCAATCTTCCTGGAGTACCATTTTTGAAATTATTGTAAAGACAGAGAGTTAAAGGTAATTTAATGGTAATCCGGAGGAATGATTCTTAGTTTTCAATTTCCTTAGCCAGGTGTGGTGGCACGCGCCTGTAATCCCAGCACTTGGGAGGCTGAGGCAGGAGGATTGCTGTGAGTTTGAGACCAGCCTGGGCTACATAGTGAGTTCCATATCAGTGTCAATTACATAGTGAGACCCTGTCTCAAAAAACAAACAAACAAAACAAAAAAAGTTTCCTTTATTACACTTTGCTAAAGGGGAATCTCTAAATTGATGGGAAAGTTTCTAATTATAGGACATTTACCACTTCCCAAGGTAGCTCCTTCATCCTAGACAAGTTTGAATGTTATTCTTTTTATAAAACTAATGATATTCAAAGCTCATTAGGATTGGGTGTATTTTTTTCCTATACCGCACTATGGGCATTTTGAAGCTATATCAGTGTCCTTTATCTTTGTGGTTTTGAAAATATACTCTTTATCAGTGCCTATTTATTTTATAAAATATTTAAAAATGTAGTCATCATATCCATCCTTCCTTTTACCCTCCCTTATATTTCCCCCCTCCTCCTGTCATTTGGTATATTTTTAAATTTTTTAATATAAATGAAATATAGTGGCAAAATTCTCTCTGGAAATAATGAGAGGATCATCTTTTATTTTTAATGGAACACTATTGTTAACTCTGGCTAATTTGCTTTACTAATTTAAAACCTAGAATGCAATTACTCTTGTTTCTAGGTTGATTAGGACACGTGCTTTATCTTTGAGTGTTTTGTAGTATCTCAGATTTAATGTTCTGCTTATTAAAAATCAGTGACTACACTGTCAGCACTGCAGAAGATCAGGTTTCATGTTACCCACTATCATATTCATAAAGCCATTTTAAATTAATCAATCAAAGCATCAATATATGTATTTACTGTATGTCATTATAGCGATACAAAATACTTCAGAAATGAGATTTAATTTAATGTATCTGTGTTTAGAATTTTATTTTTTAATATATTTGAAGTATATTCTTCTTATGTATGCAACACAGAATGAAACATTGAAGTTTATGGTATTTACTACCTGGATCAATAAATTGAGTGCTTTAAAAAATACATCACCACTATAATCAAAATAGGGTGGGACTTGGGGTTAGATGATCATGGATCCTACTGGCTCACTTGTCAAATCAATAGAGTTTCTATCACACTGCTTTACCAACTCAAAAGCTATATAAATTTGCATAAGTCAATACTTCTGAGTCTCACTTTTTTGCCTATAAATTTATTCTTAATTCATAGGAAATGAATAATGAATTATATTATGTATGCAAAAGTTCTAAATCACAGCCTGCTCAATACAGAATTAATGTGTATTTATAAACTATATATCTGATAAGGGATTAATATCTAAAGTTTGAAAAGAACTTATGCAGCTCAGTAGTGAAAATACAAAAAAACCATTAGAAAAGACCCAAATAGATATTTCTCCAAAGAAGACATAAGAATGGCCAACAGGTAAACAGAAAAATACTCAATGCCATGGAAGTCAGGGAAATGGAAATCAAAATTACTATGAAACATGACTTCACACCTTTTTGGATGGCTAGAATAGCTATTATTAAAAAGCCAAAAGATAAAACTGTCATGTGGTGTAAAGGGAACTCTTATGCATTGTTGGTGGAAATTTATATTAGTACAAGCATTATAGAAAATAATATGGAGGTTTCAAAAGAAATTAAAAATAAAGTTATCGTATGACCTAACAATTGCTCTTTTGGGAATGTATCCAAAGGAAATGAAGTTATGTATACCCTTATATTCATTGCAGTTCTTTCTTTCTTTCTTTCTTTCTTTCTTTCTTTCTTTCTTTCTTTCTTTCTTTCTTTCTTTCTTTCTTTCTTTCGTCTGTCTCTCTCTCTTCATTAAGTTTATCAGCACTTTATAGGTATACAGTACAGCTACGGTAATCATTGGGATCTTTTACTTTTACATGATGCCTCTTGGTTCTTATTTTTTCCCCATCCCCCTGCCCTCCCTTCACCCCCTCCACCCTTCTCCATTTATGTAGACCTTTTTACATTTTTCCTCTTCTTATTTTTTCTTTTCCCTTCTTCCTTTCATCTACCCTTCCCACTTCCTCTACTCATTTTTCCTTTTTCTTCCTGTTTCCCATTA